TTGGTGGCCCTGCTTGTGGCTGGAGGGTTGGGGATTCGTGATCCTTGAAGTCCCTTCCAACCCAGGCCATTCCGTGATTAGCTGTGATGGGCTGCACCTCTGCACACCACACAGCCCATGCTAGTCGCTGGCAGCACAGTGCTGTTGCTCCGCCTGCAGTTAGTTCTGCACTGCTGCCCTGCTCACACAGTGCTACCATTAGTGCTGGCAATACATTAACAATGGAAATGCAGGAGAAAACATCTGTGAATTCCTATGTCCATTTTTATACTGCTGCTCTAAATTTTTAGTTATTATCAATTGTTTACCTCCTGTGCATTGGTGGAACATGACACATTGACTCACTGACTTCACAGAACCCTCTCGCACGCCTCCCGTCCATTCTGATGAGCAATACTAAATTGAATATACTGGTGTAGAAAAGCCTTCTAAAATCAGATTAGCAATGTTCAATGAAGCAACCATGTAAGCTGCACTGTGACAACAGAAGTTCTGGAGATAAAACACGATCCCTCTCTTCTCCAGCAACTCGTTTTATTGGCAGTACATGACTGTGGAAAACTGTGATGAATCTCTTGTTTATGAGACATGCTATATATTGCATGGGAATATTTCCAGTTGAAAACCTGTAGAGCTAACTCTGCAAAAACAAAGTAACTTGTGACTCGCTAGGCTGCAAAAATGCAAAAAGGCAAAGTTTGACCAATAAATTTGTGGCACTTGGCTGGAATCATTGGTGGGGTTAAACTATGCTAGCATCAATATAAGCTTTGAGGCAAAGAATTCTAAAAATTTGTGAACAAAGTGATAAATTTGAATGGAATGATTTTCTGTTTTGAATTGATAAAGCTAACACTGTAAAATAAGTTCTTGGTTTAATGCTTACATTGTTAAGGAATATTGAGCAATTATAGAGGAAAAAAGTTAATAATATGTCCTTATATGGAAAAAAATTAATATTATGAGGAACATTCTAGTTAAAAGACAAGCACCATGCAAAGGATGAGCACAGCATTTACTTGTAAGACAGTGATGTCCTTAGATAGAACCACAGCTCTAACAACGCAGTGTCTAGTGCAATGAAACTAGAGCCTTGACAGGTATGCTAGCTGCCCCCCAAACTATCAAATTAATAGAAACATGATCATCTTTTATGAAACAAGGATTAGGAACATGTTCCCTAATGAAAGGAGATACTCTAGAAAATTACAATGAATATAAATAAATAACATAGTAAGTGAAAATATATTTTGAAGCTTAAGCACTGTTTACTAACTGACCCTTCAGATTCCTTCCTGTGGTTTTACCTATCAGTGGTTCTTTGAGCTGTGTCATGTTACCACATGGCAAAAGTACATGAAAAAGCTCTACAAACTGCCATCCTGTATCTTTAAAGCTATGAACATTCCATCTAAAATTGTACATCCTAATTAACTTCAGTATATAGTATACTCAGTGGTAAAGCACAGGCACAACAATAACCTTGCAAAATTTAATATGTGGCCCAAAATCACAGTTCCATAAACAATCTGAACCAGAAAAACTGGCTAAGGGTAGATCTTGGCACATCAGCATGCTGGTTGTTCACTCATGTGTCGGTAACAATTACAACAAACACTGTTAGATTTGGCATCTCCAATTCTATGAGGACACTTTTCCACGGCAGAAGATCCATTCCTTATGTCACTAATCACTATCACAGGGTGAAAATGGGACTTGAATAAGCCTACTGAAGATTGAGGAAGGGTGTAGCATTTCACTGTCCAAATTTTAAGCTAGTTCTGAGAACAGCCCCAATCAGATGGGAGGAAACCACCACTGTGACAGATCGGTGATTTGCGAAGGTCAGAAAGTTAACTGGCCCCCATCCAGCAGCCCCCAGAAGTACATGTGGAAAAGCATGAGGAGCACTGAGCCTTCCTAGTTCTCCTTTCACCAGCTGGAAGAACAGATGTAACACCTTTTTCCTTATATAAAAACATCTGCACATGTGTAGACAGGCTAAAACTCTGCAGCAGGAACAACGCATCACACAGTTTAAACAAATAGAAATGGAAACGATTAGAAAACTGACGGAATTTGATCACGTTATATTGGCAAATATCGCCTATTCTTATGTGTCAGAAAGACCCACTTTTTACATAAAAAATCAGTGCTATGGCTCATGCCCAGCCCACAGCACTCCAGCACCAATGTGTTTGGTATTACTACTGCATTCCTTATGCTAAAGCAAAATGCATGTGAGGAAACAAGCTGTACCTCAAACCACCACGCAACAGAATTACTCAGAAGCAAGTGCCAGATGCACTGAGGACCCACTCCTTACAGAATTAGCGTTACTCCTTCTGTTGTGACTGCAATCTGCAATTTCCTTAAGTGAATACATTCCTCATAGATTAATAATAACTAATTTCAGATGCGTTCTGAATTATTCATTATTCTTTACAAGGAGAGTGGTTAGGCCCTGGAACGGGCTGCCCAGGGAGGTTGTGGATGCCCCGTCCTTGGACGTGTTCAAGGCCAGGTTGGACGGGGTCCTGGGCAACCTGATCTGAATGTGTATGTTTGGTGACCCTGCCAGGCAGGGGGGTTGGAACTACATGATCCTTGAGGTCCCTTCCAACCCGGGTGATTCTGTGATTCTGTGATTCATGTGCGTTGGCCAACGATTTTACACTTTCAAATAGAAGTATTTTGGCCAAATTGATGAGGACTCAGTATTAGCTGTTAATCTTATTTGTTTTAAAACTAATTATTTAGGGGCATTTCATCATAGCATATTTCATCGTTTGTAAATTGACTTGGAGATAAGTTTGAATGTAAAAAAGAATTCCACAATTAGTCCATAATAGCAGGGCCATAAATCATAACTACCATTTCATTTTACTGCCATTTAAATTACTTCAATAGGTTCAGTAAACCTTTATGAAACATTCTAATGTTCAGAAAGAAAATGAAAAAGAATAACCTTACTACTAAATCAGAAATAACTTAAACGAGTTGGAATACTATATTGAAACCCAGTAATTCATTATCATAAGATGCACAGTGAAAACAAAACTCATCTGAAAACCACACATGAAGAATAAAGTTCTATGTTACGTAGAATTTAAATAAGCCAAAAACACTTTTAAGTGATTTTATTATCAGCATTAATTTACTACAAAGCTGATAAAATATATAGGTCAATAAGAATCCTGAAATGCATAGCAATTTTTTCTGAAGTTGAGAAAATAAATGAAGAAGTTGAAGATGAAAAATAGTTTTTTAAAGAATCTTTATTAAAGTTAGTTTCTAGAAGAAAGGGACACAGTCACAGTATTTTAATAAACTATAAAATAATAAGGTTATTCAACAGAAACTGTTGGAACCACTGCAGGTCAGGAAATAGTAGCCAGATTTTGAGATTATGTTCTGTCCAATGTAACATCTATAAAGGATTCATTCATACACACCTTCTGCCGTTGTCATAATGGTGAGTTACTACTGAAGAGCAATTCCTTTTAGGAAAGAGAAAGGCATTCACACAAAAGAAATGCAGAATGTACAACAGAGAAGAAAAGGGTAAAGAGAAAAGCAATGGAAGTGTTGCCATCTCTCCCAGCTACAGATGAGATACCTGGATTGCATGCACTTAAACATCCCTCTGACTTGGGAGGGACTTCAATGTCAGAAGCGGATGGAAGTGGCTCTGTAGAGACAACAAAGCGGACTTTCCTGAGGTCAGAGAGAGATGATCCTCAAGAAAGAAAAGGTGTCCTAAGGTAGGAATGGCATAGGAACTCAATAATGAGAAAGCACCAAGTAACGGAGCAAGGGGTACGTGCAAGGAAATAGTGGCACTAACACACACACACACACACACGGCAGGACACTGGCTTTCATCCTTTTGTAATATGCTCTAAAAATCCCTATGGAAGAATACTCTAAGAAACAACCAGATAAATCACATAAGAGTTGAGGATGGGAGGCATGTCGGTGTCCCTCAGGCCCAAGCCCTGCTTCATCAGGGACACCCAGAGCTGGGGGCCCAGGGCCACATGGAAGATCTCCAAGGAGGAAATCCCACAGCCTCCGGGCAGCCCGTGCCAGTGCTCCATCACCTGCACAACACAGCAGTGCTCCTGCTGTTCAGAGAGAACCTCCTGTGTGCCAGTTTGTGCCCGCTGTCTGTTGTCTTGGTAATGGGCACAAATCATAAATGCATAATTGCCCAAAAACAAATACACGTGGGAGGAGGAAGAAAAAGCTTGAATCTCTCCCCATTCATATGTTTTGCAACAGGTGTTGGAATAAGGCTGACTGAATGCATAATTCAGGACAGTTAACTACCAGGTTTGCTGCCTTACGTAAACAACTACCAACATGACTGAGATCAAAGATGATGTTTGCTACAGCTCTTAGTTAAGATTAGGTTCTGTTACGGGTGGGAGCACAGAGTAGTAAAGAAATCATTGAGACTTAGGCTAGAAATGAAATTGACCCACTTTGCTGAAAGTAAGTCCTTCAGTGATTAATAACAGTTATACGCTCACAAAACAAACAAAAACCTAAAAAAGGCAGCATGACAAAAAAGATTTGTTCTGCCCTATTACATAACACTTTTATTCATCATACTCTACAAAGCTAAACCTGTACAAGTTTGTACATATTGCATTGAAAGAACTGTTCACCAGCTATAAGAATAATGAACAAAACATTAGAAACATTAAACTTATGGTCCCTTGTGATTTTTTTTTTTTTGGGTCAGTATCAATGTATCAGCTCAAAGCTTTCAAAAGATAGGAAAAAATACCTTAACAACCAAAAATATCGACTACAGTGTCCCCTTCAGGGGAGGGGAAGGAAAATCTGTGAATCGGTACCAAATTTGTATCTAAATGCAAAATTCAAGTTCCACTATATAGAAATGTGAAATTACAGCCATCAGTAAAGAATTATATGGTTAAACAGTAAAGATAAATGTGATTAAAAGTACAGATACAGTTAAAGAACATAGGTAAACATACATGACTGTTTAATTCAAAATCACATTTTTACATAGAAGAAATATTACATTCCAATCTACCAGTATGGCTTTTTCCATGAACAGGTGGGTGCTTCCAGATTAAAAACCCAAAACTTTGTTGTTCAAGAACTGAGAAAAATTTAGCTATGTGAAGAGAATTAATGTAAAGAAATTAAAAGTGAGACCAAAGCAAAGTTTATAATACCAAGATAGACATCACTGTGATTTAGTTGTGGAAGACATTTCACCTTTGCTTTTATTATTTGTCATAGCTATGGCAGCATATTTCACTTGTGAACTTTCATCGTAAGATACGGCAGAAAAGGTGTCACTTCCTCATTTGAGAGATTAAAATGCACCTGAGCAAAGCAAAACTAAAATGTAAAGGTTAATGAAAGCATTCAGCTGAACTCAGTTTTGGCTTGTGGATGTGCACAAAACAGAACAAAAAATAAATAAACAACTTTTGGCACTTATCCACAGAAAGATGTAAGGTGATTTAATTAAAAAAAAAAAAGACAGCTAGGAAAAGTGACCAGCTCACAATGAAACTGTACAAGCCATTAGTTCACATTTAAACAATAAATCTGATTGCAGTTTAGAGCACAAAAACATAACTTAAAGTCCTATTTTATTCAAATTTGAAAAACTATATTGATTTTAAGTTGTTTAAATACATTCATTCCCAGTCAAAGTTTTACAGTAACTGATGATTTTTCATCACGCACACAACCAAGTTATAAATCCCTGAAATGTGGATTTATTAGAGGAATACTGATAAAACCTTAACAGAGATACAAATGATACATCACACAGCATCTTACACCTTAACTGTAAGTACTTGACTGTCTTGGATGGTAGATGCATCACTCCTACTGTTAGACACTAACACCAGCCTCTAAGACCAACTGGTTTAACTTGAATTCAGAACAGCTTGCAATTACCTAAAAAAGTGTGGGTTTTTTCCTTTTTCTTTATTTTTCCCCCCAACCACACTAGAAAATGTTCAACTTCTACCTGTATTTCAAAACTCCTGGAAAGAGAATTTTCCAGTTATAACTGGGTCTAAATATACTAAGCTAGAAGAGTCACTGAAGTGAATTTTAGAAAGTCATTTCAGAATCAGTGCCCTTGCAGAGATTCAATATACAGCAGTACTTCCCTAGATCTAATTGGTGTATCTTTATCCTGCGCACCTCAGAAATTCAATTCACTGTTTTTGGGACTCTTGAAGTTACTCTCATTCTGGCACTGAGTTTCTGTATGGAAGGGCAATTTCCAAACAAAAGGCACTCTGCTATGGGAGAAATCAGAATCATCAGCAACACAAACAGACAACCTGAAACCTATTTAAGAGAACTGCTGAAGTCTTCGCAAGGTCTGAAATTAAGTACTTTCCTTAAGAAAGGTGGAAAAATAGACCAGCTGCAGTGCACGGGTCTGCATGCACACAGACACTAGCCACTGTATGAGCACAGCGATCTGCCAGTATCTCAGCTTCTTCTTCGTTCCAAAGCTTTTTTGGCTTGGGCAGAACCATACCTCTAAGGCTCAGCTGCACTACCAGGTGACTTGCAGAAAGGCCCAGGGAACACCACTGACTGACAATACCATCTGCAGCCCCAACAGCAAGCAGCTTCAGAGAGTGGCAAGTAGCAAAGGTGTTCCTTTAAAAGAATGAGAGCATGGGCATGCTTCTATTTTGTTCCACTTCCTACTGCTATTTCTTCCTCTCTTCACCCTTCCCTCCCACTCTTCTCCCACCACTGAATAAAAATTAAAAAAAAAAAATCCACTGTCTTGGGAATGAAGCTTTCCTTAATGATAGAAAAACTCACACTTAGTCTGAATAAGGGATGTGCAAAACAGAAGTAATTTCCCTGAGGCAAAGATCTTCAAGTCATGCCTAGCTTACATTGTCTATTCTCATTTCAAGCTGTTGATGTATTTGGCACAATGAGGCCTTGATCTGGAGTCTCATGGCATTATCACAGTCTAAATAATATAATTATATAATGAAGTAGAAGTTACAAATGCTTCATTCTCTCATTCCATTTTGTTTTCTTATATTTACTCATTAAAATCCTGCTTCTTCTCAAAGATGGCATTCAGATTCCTGGGCAGAAAGGTAGAGTGACAACCTTTAAATAAAGTTGAAGTTTGTCACAAAAACTGCCTAAACAGGCAATCACAGTAATTATTGTTCTCAACACATGAATAACAGGGTAAAAATTAATAGCCTGTTACATACGGGTCAAAAACAGATGATTTAAGTCTTTCTTACATCACAGAAAAACTTCAAGAGAGGTAAAAGAAAGTCATGCTGTGAATGCTTCCAGTCTAAAACACGAAAGAAGCAAAGCTCGAAGGCAGGTCTTTCCAGCTTTCCCTTTTTATATATAAATTGCACTTCTTATCCAAAGCAACTCAAAGTCTAAGTTGTAATAGAAATTTGGAGCTGCAGTACGGTATCAGAGTACCTTTGTTTGACATCTGAAGTACAGGTAACTAGTTTCCAGCTACCCTGCATCCACAGCCACACGTGAGCTCCACACTTTTCTGCTTAACAAAGCATCTGCCATTAAATGCCATGCCACTGGGTGAGTACAGAACAGAACAAAACAGAGCTTAAGGCCTTTATCTCCAGAAGGAGCTGAAAAGTGTGGCACAACCCATGACCAATACTTAATACTCAAATTAACACACCCCCACCCAGGGCTCAAATAATTAGTCACTCTTTCTAACGTTTCTTTCACAAGACAATCATACCGCCAGCAAGCAACAGTGCCAGGTAAGCATTTTTAAGGTCTCAATAAATCATAACAAAGGGCACTTCTGAGAAAGATCATTTTAAAGATTTGGTTCTAGAAATAGACACCACACTCACATTCAAGGGACATTCTTCACTTTTAGGCCTTTGTCACAAATCTGAATCTTTATTGTTCTGAAAGAAATGCTATAAATGTAAGACTCAAAACAAGAACTCCAACTTTCAGTCTCGGAAGAGGTGTGGTTCAAATGCCCATATCACATGTAACAAGAAAACTTCCTTAGAAAAGGAAAAAAATTACTGTAAAGTCTTTCATAAAAATGAAAATGCAATCCGATGTTTTTCTCATTAGTTTGTGTACAGGCGGGCACCAAAAAAACTTGCATTTTCTTTTGAATTCTTGCTATGACGCTTGACGAACTTTCTGCCATTCGACAAACTCATCCAGAAGTACAGGCCCTGCAAAAGGAAGAAACTCAGAGTAATATCTACCAGAGTCCTTCAAACATTTTCTCTTAACATACAGAGGTTAAAACTGAGCCTAGGCAACATGCACGTTAACCCTTACAAACACTTATGAAGACATGAGATGACTACAATCACTTCAATCCAAGGGTGGAATGAATAACACTACACATTGAACTACAAAAAAAGGTATTCTTAACACACATAATAGGTGTGCTGAACTGAATGGAAAGCAGCAGAGTATATTCTAAAATGGGGCAAGTGACTCCTTCTTGCTGGAACTTCCAGAATTACACAATTAGAAACGCAGAATAAAATGGGAGATAACCACTGCAATTCAGTTATAGTAGGCCTGACTATCAGCTAAGTGTAGACTTCAAGCTCCCTAAAGCATTTCTCAAGTACCAGCAGCTAGGCTACTTTATAATTTAACTAGAATTCATCACGTGTAAGTGTAAAAGAAGAGTTTGCTATTTACAGTTTAGCTTGCAAATAGTGTTTTCCTGTAGTAAGCAGCTTTACTAGATCCTTAAGTGGATATAAGTTGGCTTAGGTGCATCGTCATGCCACAGACTTGCTTCTAAAATTAGTACCTGCAGTTCAGAAACGAGTGGCTGTTAGGACAGTTATCTATGTGTTTCTGGAAAATAATTAGTTTTCCCTTCAAAGTACTGCTTCTGCTATTTAATGTACTCATGTTTTATGCCAATTAAAAATGCTAACAATAATAGCTGAATAAATGAAATGTTTCTATTACTTACATGCACCATCTTCATCATAGTTGCTAAGATCTGCATGGACAGTTCTGCTGAACTCTAGCACATTGTACCACTGGTCCTTGTTCATGACTCTATACTTCGATTGCTAGGAAAAGAATTTAATTGCAAAACATTAAAATGCCAACATTAAAATGCTGCACGTTCTTTCCAGTTTTCTCTCATTTGTAATTTTCACTCATTTCCTAAAAAACAATTAAGTGGGCAACAACAGCTACTCTCTCCCTTGGTTTTCCAGTTTTTAGAAGACTATGCAGCACATATTCCATAGCTCTAAAATTACAGAAAATAGTTTCTTGAAAGAAGATCAGAGCAAAACTGAAATAAGTTCACCGTATTCTGAAGCCTCAAAAACCTGTTTTTATCTTGCCCTCAAGTGAGGCATGCTTAGCACAGGCGCATTTCCAGAATGAACAGCTGCAGGAATCTTTTCTCCAAGATGTAAAGTAGCATTACAGTAAGGACACATACTTTCCTCCAACTTGTCACTGATTTTATGTCCCAAGCCTAGTATGCTGAGCAGTGTATATACATTTACACTACTAAATTGCTTGTGGCTAAGAAGAATCTTCCAGAGACAGTCAGAGCTTAAGGTACCTACACATCATTATCTACAGAAGGCAGATTTGAAATTAATACATGTAGCTAAAGAGACAGGCTCTACTAATTTTACCTTTATTGCCTAATTAAGATGGAATTTTGTTGCCTTCGATTGGAGAAGGGGAGAGAGGAAAAGTGATCTGTGATGTATATAAGAACATCACTGTTTCAGAAGGAGCCTGAGGAAGGGAAAAGGAGAAACCTGGATACATTCTTGACCCAAACAACACAAATCCTGAAATCTTCTCATGAAACAGCCCAACTAGCATTCTATCATTCTAAAACTCAAGGAAACGCCTACCTCCAGGTACTGATAAAATACTGAAAACAGTGGCCAAGTTCTTCCAAGCAGAAGCGCTAACATGGATTTTGCAGTATCAATATCAAGACTTCGCTGGTCTTTGTCCTAGAGTTACATAAAGAAAGCATAAGAACACTGAAGTACAAACTCACTGAATAACTAAAATTATAACTTCTCTAAGATGCCAGTAGCCTTACCCTTGCAAAATCAAAGGCATATCTGTAGATATTCTTAAAGGATGAGATGTCATTCAACTGTGACCGCAAGAAGTCAAATTTACTCTGTAACTTTTCTGTACAGTCACACCTTAAAATAAAGGAGAACAAATGATGTTAGAAGTTCAAAACAAAACATTTGGACCATGAAAAATGCCAGGAAGAGTAAAAAAAAAAAATAAAAGTAAGTACAATCAGCAAATTACAGAATCACAGAACTGTAGGGGTTGGAAGGGACCTCCAGAGATCATCGAGTCCAACCCCCCTGCCAAAGCAGGTTCCCTACACCAGGTCGCACAGGTAGGCATCCAGGCAGGCCTTGAACATCTCCAGAGAAGGAGACTCCACCACCTCCCTGGGCAGCCTGTTCCAGTGCTCCATCACCTCACTGTAAAGAAGTTCTTGCGCATGTTTGTGCGGAACTTCCTATGCTGCAGTTTCCAGCCGTTTCCCCTTGTCCTGTCTCCACTCACCACTGAAAACAGTCTGGCCTCGCCATTCTGCCCCCCACACCTTAGATATCTGTAGACCTGGATCAGGTCCCCTCTCAGTCTCCTTTTCTCAAGGCTGAACAGACCCAGTTCACTCAGCCTTTCCTCATAGGGGAGATGCTCCAGGCCCTTCACCATCTTTGTGGCCCTCCGCTGGACTCTTTCCAAGAGATCCCTGTCTTTTTTGTACTGGGGAGCCCAGAACTGGACGCAGTACTCCAGATGAGGCCTCACCAGGGCAGAGTAGAGGAGGAGGATCACCTCCCTCGACCTGCTGGCCACGCTCTTTTTAATGCACCCCAGGATGCCATTGGCCCTCTTGGCCACAAGGGCACACTGCTGGCTCATGGCCAACCTGTCGTCCACCAGGACACCCAGGTCCCTCTCCGCAGAGCTCCCCTCCAACATTCATAATGCTGTGGAGGTGATGTAAACACTGGACATGCTCAGAAATTTGCAGCTGACGACAGCTGAGGTTCTGTAAACAAGATTTTTTTTTTTTTAAAGTATCAGCAATATCAGCTTTTTAAAAATCCTTAAACTGTACTTCTAAAAAACGTCCTTCCATGCCATACCCATCATTTCCTTACCTTTCAATCATTCTTAACTTTGTAGACAACAGTACTCAACATGCACTGAAGTGATATAGCCCTTACTTACAGCTGGATTCTGTTCCATACACCTTTGGGAAAAAAACCCAAAAACTAAAAAACACTTTCAAGTCCATACCTGTGCAAGTAGCAGGATTCAGCAGGTGCTTAGCAAAACTTACTGAGGTCTGGGAGTGTTTTATGACTGATAAACACAAGCTCTGATAAGCCCGTATCACCTGGACTAGTCAGTAGCTATTGAACCGAAAACTCGCAAGTTGAGCAAGGATTTACCAGTCTGTTAGTTGGTATGAAAACCCTTTGGTAAAAACCCTCTCTATTACTAATCCCAGGAAGGAAAGTCTTCCTGTACTTTACCTAGCAATCACTTCTTTCATAATAAAAAATTGGTTAGCTTCACCAACACTGGCACTGGAGAATGTAATTTACTCATGTAAATCCTGTGGGAAAGGCTCACTCTAAAAGAACAGTTGTTACATTATAATCACATTTTATTTTTATAAAAATAACAGCTGTGTTGGGTTAAAAAAGTCCACCTTCTTCTGTTCTCTGTTTGACAGAAGCAGTACTTTCAGAAACACAGAGATATATGCATAAATACTTCCTCTGGGGTACCCGTCTGCCTCCTGGCAGCCTGCCTCTCAGAGAACATATTCTTTAAGGACTTGCACCAGAAGCCCTCAGCAAAGGGCATTTCAGGAGTCCTGCTGCACACTGCCAAGATGCTGCACCTTGATAGGGAACTTTCCCTGCAGCTGATATTCCTGATCATCAGTTCTGCTAGCCCATGCAAGCACATATGCAGGTCTGTCTCTATCAGAACAGCTGCAATGAGAAAAATGTAATGATTCCAGCTAGTGAAGCCTTTTTGCTCAGTGGAACGCTTTTGTTATTGTCTCCAGCAGCATGTAGGTAAAGCAGGGCAAAGTCCAAGCTAAGATTAGTGCTAAATAAACAATTACCTAATTATGTTCCGCATTTAAATTATAAGAACTTATGATGTTTATATTATTAACAAAATAAACAACTTAAAACTCAACTGAGATTATTTATCATAAAATACATACAAACGTCAGCATACCTACGTCTCCTACAAAACACTTTGTTAAAGTTGCTCAAATATAAGTGTACACACAAAGTGAAACTGTTATTACTGTCTATTCTGTAACTGGTAATATCAATCAGTACTGGTACCAGTGCTAACTGACATCTTGGTCAGCAACATGGACACTGGGTTTGAATGTGCCTTCACAGCAAGTCAGCCCATGACACAAAGCTGAGTGGTGCTGTCAACACGCTGAGGGAAAGTGACACCACACAGAGAGACCTGTACAGGCTGGAGAGAGATGCCCATGTGAACGTCATGCAGTTCAGCGCTATCAAATGCAAAGTTTTGCACCTAGGTTGGGGCAATCCCTAAGCACAAACTCAGGCTGGGCAGAAAACAGATTAAGAGCAGCACTGATGAGAAGGGCTTAAGGATGTTGGTTGATGAAAAGCTCAGCAAGAGCTGGCAACGTGTGTTTGCAGCTCAGAAGACCATATCACAGCTTCATCAAAAGAAGCATAGCCAGTAGACCAAGGGAGGTGATCCTACCCCTCCACTTCGCTCTTGTGAGCCCCTACCTGCAGTATCACAAGCGGACCCCCAGCACAAGGACACAGACCTGCTAGAGGAGGTCCAGAGGAAGGTCACGAGGATGCTTAGAGGGCCAGAACACCTCTCTGATGAAGACAGGCTGAGAGCTGGTGTTGCTGGGGTTATTTAGCCTAGAGAAGTTCTGAGGATATATTATAGAGGCCTTCCGATACTCACAAGTGGCTTGCAGAGTAAATGGGGGAGGAACTCTTTGTCATGGAATACAGGGATAACAGTTTAAAACTTGAAGAGGGGAGATTTTGGTTAGATGTTAGGAAGAAATTCTTTACTCAGAGTGAGGTGAAGCACTGGCACATCATTCTCAGAGACATTATGGGTGCCCCATCCCTGGAGATGTTCAAGGCATGGTTGGACGGGGCCCTGGGCAGCCTGATCTAGCAGGTGGCAGAACTGCCCACAGCAGGGGAGTTGGAACTACGTGGTCTTTAATGTTCCTTCCAATCCAAACCATTCAATGATTCGCTCATACATACTATAACACAAAAGTAATTTCCTTAAAAAAAAATTAAGGAATAAATGAAAGCGCGCTACATCTCAAGATGCTACTGCGGAGCTACTGTCAACCTATTTAAAACCCAGCAGTTTAATCAATCACATTCAGACACACTGCTCTGAGGCCTGATACAGGGACATATCATTTAAAGCCACTTCCACACTCAGTCAGTGATTCTGTTCACACTGGTGCACTAAGTAGTTTCCAAACCACTCTTCTATAAACACAGCTGTTTCTGTGTCTGCATCATGAAGATGACTGAGATCAACGGGAATCAGGTTTTCATATTAAAAAAAAAAAAAGTGCCAAGACAGTCCTTTATTAACAGCAAGTGCAGTGACAGCCTTCATATTGCAACTAGATGTTTTACTTTGTGGGTATGAGGAGACCACAGCTGACAAACACACAAATCTCCTTCTCCACTATTTGTCATATACCTAGGGTTCAATGCTCGAGTTATTCAGTCTCCAAAAACTTGAAAGCAAAATGTAAGTAAGCAGTCACTTGCTAAGGGCTATTTAATTCATCCTAACGAGGCATCTAAAAGAGCTGAAATAAGTTGTGCAGCTGTATGGGAACTGCTGAGTCACGGCCTGAACCTCTGATTAATCACCTGAGGTGAGCCTTGAGTCAGCCAGAGGAGCACAGGTGAAGGCAATTCACCTGTGCTGCCGGAAGGGGTGGAGCCAGGCTGCACCCCTCCTGGACCTATTTAAGAGCTGGCTACCAGAGGGGAAGGATCTCTTCTGGAGATCCCCTCTTCTGGTATCTTCTAGTGAGCTCAACCCAAGGGTAAGCTCTTCTACTTATTCTCTTTTGTGATCCTTGTTTGCTTTTGCCTTCCTCTTTTGATTATATTGCAATTATAACATCTTGGTCATACAGCAGCTGAGGCGCTCTGCTGACAATGAGAAGAGTTTCAGACATTCAGATGATTAGTGTAGATTCAGGGAACCAGCTTTCATATATATGTAAATGTCATGGACCACCCTACCAACATGACATACTAGAATCCTTACTTCCATAACTTAAGTATGATCAACTTCCATTTAATGCATGATCCACCTTAATTTTGACAGTAAATACCATAACACATAGCTATTTTTCTCCTCTGTAAGAAGAAATTTCATCAGTGTATCACAAAACCACAGATTAAAAGAAACAATCCTGCAAATGAAGAATGCTACTTCAAGATTCAGGCATTCAAATGTTGGCATTTAATTGCAGCCAAAAGCGTAGATTTTGATGTCTTCAGCTTTATGTGCTGCCACTCATAGAGCTCTAGCCAACCAACCCACAAGAGTAATTCAGCTGACCAAACCGGCCAGTACACCAGGCTTTGGTGTACACTAAATGCCACCTTACGTTCCAATGCATTCACCAGATCTAGAGAAACTGCAGTAAGAGCTTAAGAAATCCAGCTGTTGCACATTAACCACACATTTAGATGTCTTGACCTGAATTCCACCCAGTGCTGACGATGCAATTACGTGACAAGGTATTCCACACATTTTGAAATAAAGATTCTGTAGTACAGTTCAGACTTAGGACACATGCTGGGCTTTTAATACTTGCAATGTTATTTCTCCATGCAAAACTGTAATAATGCTGTACAAGAATATAATGATCCTGCTGGTCTAATAGCGTAAATCCTTTTCTTTCAAAACTTCTGTCAAACCTTTAACAAGAACCTGGAGTCCCTTGATCCCTGTAGAGTCCGTTATTATGATCCCCCATTCCCAGAAAGCACAAAGAACACAAGTCTACAGATTTCTGCTTTTTTAAGCCATTGAGCCTTCAGTTCTCTCATATGAGTGTCACAGGTTGACCAGATGCTTAGCCTACAGCCTGGTGCCATACCACTGTTTTGCTCCCCCCAAGTAACTGTTTTAGGCTTAGGTAGGTGCTTCAATTATGTCTGTTTATATAGAGATGCATAAAAGTAAAATATATATTTTGTCTTAAATACATTACATCTACAGGATGATGAGTTCTATTCTTAAAATGAATATTTAATTCTTAATTACACTAGATTATTACAGACAGAAATTAAGTCTACAGTATTGGCTCTGAAGAGTTGCCATACTCCATGCATGTCTGTGCACACAATCAGCTAGACTGGCTGATTTTTGAAGCCTTCTAGTTGGTATAAAAATTAAGTTCCTTATAGAATTGACTTATACTTATTTACTACAGTACATAAAATGAATACAGTTTAACTGAATGTGGTATCATAACAAGTCACCCTTGAAACATTAATGAATCCTAAGGTTCATAAATAACAAAACAACAGCTGAGCCTAGCCTCACCAAAAACTAACAGTTATACAAACAGGCATCTCTTTAGCATTTAAAAAAAAAAAAAAAATCCTACTCACAGGAGGATTTGAGAAATCTACTTATAAACTGAAAAAGCATCATTCAACTTAAGCAATTAAAAATGGCTTCTGACCTGCATCTAGTAGATAATAACAATAAACAGTAGATTATAAAAAATAGGCCTCATCTCTAAAGCTTGGATATCAGTAACCAGCTTCTCAGAATACCAGTGCTGAAACAGAAGCAGATCTGAGATGTCCTTGAACACGTATCTGATAACTGGTATTTTAACATGCCATCAAAACCTGATTAAGATTAGACAAACTTTTAGTGAAGCCATCAGATTCCCAATCTGATGAAATACAATAGCTACTTCAGCTGGTGACTGAAACCAGACCTAAAAACCAAGAGCTTCTGTGTCTTATTGCCAACATACAAGAAATAGTGGGCAAGATTCATTAAGGTACAGGTATAAAAATTTAATAGAACAGTCAAATTTGATATGTGAAAAACAAACAAAAACCCTCTTACTGTAATGAGGTCATCCCCTTTAACCATTCTTCCTTGGTAAAAAATCCCATGCTTTCAGCCTCTAGCTTCCAGGCTAAAACTAACATAATAATCTGGTGGAAACAAACAAGGGGAAAAAAAACGGAGTTAGTACGTAAGAAAAAATTGATTTCTAGACTTCTTTTGAAGAAAACTCCAAACATTCAAACAAGATATGCAACTCTGCTTACTGAAACGAAGAGCTGTACATGGAACTAAGTCTAATCCAGTGAAAGTGTGATTAGTATTGTGAAAGAAACCTACATTTTCAGGTTCGACACCAATGTCTTCACAGAACTTTTCCATTCCTTCAGGCCCCACAACATCGTCAGGACCTTCGGAACCAAAAACAAACCAAAATGAAATAGAAGTAACATTTAATGAATGTAAATTACATTTGAATTATCACATTCCAAGGTAGAATTAGACAATGTTTTATACTTATACAATGCTTTATAGCTTATATAAAAGCTATCTTTAAGAACACCGCATTACTTTATTAATTAGATTTTGTATTACAGCCGTTGTATCAGCTGCAACATGCAGACAGGTATGAAATGCTTGTCAATGACATAACTGTAAGGACCAAAAGCAAAAGGCATGCAGAACTGCTGTGAATTGCCTTCCCAGAACAGCATACAACTATTTTATTTCACTTATGTGGGTTTTCAGAAGCATCCACTGAGCTTCACACAGACACAGCTAAACTCAGCGAATGTCATCTCTGCCCTATGAATAATGTTCTCCAAATAGTTATTTTACCAGCACAAAAAAAACTACATGTCTGACCTACCTGTTGGCATTATGGGTTTGCTCTAACATTGCAGATGACGATTCTTATAATAAATATTAACCCTTTATGAACAAAGCAGTATAATAAATCTGAAAAAAATGCTGGGCAAAAAGTAATAAAAGCCTTGGCTACAATGAAAAGAACTGAGATCAGAACACTTAATATTATGCTGTTACCTTTCACTTATAACACAAAGAATGCCTAAAAAAGCAGCAATAGATTGTATTTAGAGAGCATATACGGACACTGCAAAATGGATTGTTTCCCTGAGTCCCTCTGGTTTCAGCTATTTCTGCTAAGCCTGTTCCAAAAACTTCCAGGCAACCCAATATTATCAGGGGGCTTTCTGACATGCTGTTTTGTACACATTTGAGATCTTGATGTTAACACTGCTTTAATGAACATGAGCCCATGTAAATGGCAAAGGCTGTGTGCTCAAGAACAAAATACCACAGAATGTTTGAGAAATGTTGCTACTTTAAAAAAGAAAAAGAAAAAAAGCTGTTCTGTTTCTCTGTTTAAATTATGAAGAGATACAAGATATGGCATATTTAGATTACTGGTTAACTAACAATTATGACTCCCTACAATGAATTCTTGATTGAACAACAATAAAATATATAAGCCTTAAAAGATTAAAGGCATTTGAGTTACTTGCATTGTAAGAAAATAAACAGAACAGAGAGGAAATTTTCCACAGGAAAGACTTCAAAACAGTACAGCTCAAATCTAATTGAGAATGCAGATTACTAGAATCAAAAGTAGTTAATTACTCTGGAAACACTGTCAGTAAGGGACTGGTTTTGAATCATAGCCTCAAACCAATCCCTGTAAGATAAAACACCAGCTCATTTCATATTGAGAACTGAGGCAATAAAGAATTTTAGTCATCACTTAGCTAAGATGGACTTTAGTTAGTGACTACGTATGAAAAGAAACTGATCATAGTTTACAGATGCAGAATTTCTAATCATACTGCAGTTTATTTACTAATTATAATTGTTCAGTGAGTGCTGCAATATACATTAGACATTTTCTCAAGGCAGCTACTACTTGGGTAGTGAGTTAATTTATTCACAAGAGGGTACTTCCAGCACCTGTGAACAAGACCTTGGTTATTTGTGACATAAAATGTGTTAGGACAGATTCTCAGCAGAACCAGTATAAACATCTATCAACCTTTTTCTGAAATATGAAAACATGGAGCTTAGATCATTAATTATTATTTCATTATCATTCCAATTTGATTACAAACAAGATCACTGGAGAAATAAATTTCTATCTAAATGCTCATGGTCCCAACTTCTACTTGTCCTTTCCTAATGAGCAGCAGAATCCCTCAGTTCAACACTGCATACCATGCAACATCAGTCATTTTATTTTGACAAATGCCATGTAAAATTATGAAGCACAGAGGAAGAACAGAAAAACAAGAAGACAAACACTGAGAATGTGCTAGTAAAAGCCATATGAATTCAAGTGTATATGGACATACATCTCCATGAGGACACAGAGCAAAAATGCAAATAATATCTGACGTATTTATTTGTTTTAAACAAAGCCATGCCATTTTAAATATGAATATACTGCATATTACCTGCATATTCATGAAACCATGCTAGGCACTTCTTGCTTGAAAAATGTTCCTCTCCGCTTATTACTTTACCAGATGCTTGTGACCTGCAATAGCTTATAGAAACAGAAGGACAAGAAGTGTTATTTTAATGTGAGAAATGGGAAACCAGTTACATTCTGTTTATTTTTTACTTCAAATTAAGCCAACTGTTTAATGAAGTCAATATACACAAAAAAGCTGAATTTAAGAGGCAATTGTCAGATGTCCTATTTCAACACTCACAGGAATAAGGAATTACCTCGTAAAACAACCTTACCTTAGCCTGATTTATTCCAACCATGACTTTTACTGATATGCTGAAATACTGCTACCTGATAGATGTTAAACCAAAAATCCACATGCAGGTGTTCAAAATGTCATCTCTTAGTAACTCAAATGCCTTAGCTACTCACAGATACACACACACACACACACACACACACACACAAATATATGTAAGACTTTAATGTTGGTCTCTAATAAACAGCGTGAACTTCAATCAAGGGTGCTGAATATGCACAGATCCAATTTAGGTCATCAGGAGCTGCAGTTTGACATATTTAAAAGTCAGGCTATTTATATTTAGGCACCCAAATTTGGGAAGAAAACTCGGTCAGCTTGTTTATATTAAGCATGTAACTAAATCTCTAAGTTCTATGGCTGTTTAGTGCACATACAAGAATAGTATTATACAGCCTATGGAAAGACCCAAACAGCTGTGCACAAGCAGCTCCCACTCCCTACATTACCTTCCTTATGTGCCACAATATCCTTTTCATCTAGGAAGCCAATTTTTGTAACTTAGCATTCTTCAAAAGAATGCACAACATAATTGATTGTTTCCAGTAAAAACATGACTACATGAAAACATCTTTATTCAGTAAGAAGCACCTTTACAAAGCATTCTCCTCTCAAACAGAGTACTTCTAGAATGTGCTATGATTACTTCTAAGAACTAGGTGAAAGTAGTTGGAGCTGCATAATTTTAAATCCTCTCATACCAAGACTGCCATTTTAAAAATAAAAAAGTCAAACAAAAAAAGAATGGTTCAATTCTAAAGGTGCTGGTCAATTTCAGCTCCTACATATTGCTTTAAGCTTCCCTAGGAGAAAAAGCAGCACTAAGATGAAGCCTTATGTTCTGAAAGCTACAATTCAAGGTATACAACACAAATAGCTAAAGGCCCTTAACAACACTAGTCACTAGGAAGGAAGAGCCATACTACTGTGTGTTGGTTTCAGTCACGTTAGCGTATAGCTATTTCTATAGATATATAGATGTTTCATTAAATAATATTAGCAATATATTGCTGCATTTGAACACTCCATTAGAAATGCTCCTATCTTCACCATTTTGTGACCAGCTAATACAAATATTCATTTTTGGTTATCAGTGTTCAAGAACTGAAACTGGAACAGCTGCAGAGAATGGCTATGATAGGCAAGGAAACTGAAAATCTGTCATACAAACCAGAAGAATTTAGACTGCTTCACAAAGTAAAGCATCAGAAAAGACAAATGCTCACTCCGAATGACCTAAGAGGTGGAACCATGAGAAAGAAGCACTACATAAAGCATGACTCAACTATCCCTTCCAACTCAGGCCGTTCTATGATTCCATTACAATGTTAGCAGAACGGTTATTAAGTAGTGGCTCTGAATAAGTTCAGACTGAAAATAAAAGATCATCAACACCCGCAATAAGCAGCCTCTGGAGCAGTTATCCACAGTAAATAGTCATAACAAAATAGAAGCAGAGGTGCTTCTGCTCTAAGTTCAAGTTTGGTCAATCTAAGAGGAAGAGCCTATGCTGCAATTTCTTGCAAAAGCCATTCCCGTAGCACTGATTTCATAAGTCTGTTGTATTCTAATGTCTTCAGGATGTTTATTGTAACCGCTACGTTACTATTATGCTTGGAAAGTTCTCAGAGATAGAGAACGCCTGTGGTTTCTTACAGAAAGCCACATGGGATGCTCCTGCTGCTACGCTGTAGCATTCTAACGGCCATTTTCAGGCACTATGGCTCAAGTGGCCTCTTTATGCATGTCAATCAACAAAACTCTTTTGGATCTGGACAGTGAGATCACATCTGGAACACTGTACAGTTCTGGGCTCCTCAGTTCAAGAAAGACATGGAACTCGAGCGAGTCCAGCAGAAGGCCACAAAGATGATGAGGGGCCTGGAGCATCTCCAGCATGAGGAAAGGCTGAGAGACCTGGGGCTGCTGAGCCTGGAGGAGACTGACGAGGATCTTATCACTGTTGATAAACATCTAAAGTACAATCACTGTTTATAAATAGCTAGAGTACAAGGCTCAAGTCGATAGGACTAGGCTCTATCCAGCAACATGCAGCAACAGAACTAGGAGCAACAGGCAAAGCCTGGAACACAGGAAGCTGGGTACAAACATGAGGAAGAACTTCTTTACTGCCAGCGTGACAGAGCACTGGAACGGGCTGCCCATAGAGATTGGGGAGTCTCCTTCCAGCCGGGTGCTTTCCTGTGCAACCTATTGCAGGGAACCCACTTTAACGGGTTTTATTACCTGCCTTTATTAATGAAACCGTTTCCGATTTTGCTTAGGGGCACACTGACCATTTCAGCGCCGGCCCTCCGACTACAGCCAACGGCACGAAAGAGGAGAGCAGCTCGCAGCAGGCGTGAGCTCAGGGCGAGGCAGAAGACAGGTTGCACTCGAACCCCACGCGACAGCGGCAGGCAAAGACCGCACGGGACACGAGCAGCTCCGCAGCGCTCCTCCTGCGGCTCTCAGCGGCCGCCGCCAGCACCGCCGCGGCCGGGCAGACGGGCAGACGGCGGGCGGAGGGGGGGGGGGGGGGGGGCCCCCGGGGGGGGGGCGATCCCCGCTCCCCGCCCGACTACCCGCGCGAGACCCGCAACCGGCAACAGCCGCCGGAGGCCCGGCCCGCCGGCCGCAGACGCTACCTGCCCAGTTTACACTTCTTGAGGCCGGTCTCGTCCGCCGCCGCCGGCCCTGAGGATTTTCTCTTCTTCTTCACCGGCATCGTTCTGCTCCGGCCGGGGGCCGCCCCGGTGCCGGGGCTCGCCGCCTGGGCCCCCCGGGCTCAGCGCTCCTGCCGCTGCTGTCGGGCGAGAACGGAGGCGAGAGCGGCCCCGTCTCACCCCGCTGCTGCTGGTCCCCGCCCCGCTGGGCTCGGCTGGGTCTAGTTGGGTTGGGTCAGGCCAGGCCAGGCCGGGCCGGGCCAGGCCGGGCCCCGCCGCCGCCGCCGCGCCGGTCCGAGCAGTGAGCTTCGCGCCCGGGGCGAGAACGGGGAACCGGACGGCAGCGGCTGCGGAGGGAACGGTGGCGACCCGGACGCAGACGGCGCGGACACGGAAGTGACAGCGCCGCGGGGGGGCGGGGCGTCCGCGGAGACCGCGCCCACGGGGGTGGGGCGGTGCCGGCCGCGCGCTTCCCTCCTCTCAGGGACGGCCGCCATTTGCGGTCGCCATAGAAACGGGGCCCGGCGACGCCGGGACGGCTGCGGGCTCCGGAGTCATGGCCGCGGAGGCGGACCCGAGGAAGCGCTACATCTCGGCCACGGCCGCGAACTACTTCGGGCTGGACCCGGCCGCGGCTCCCGCCGCCCTCCGCGCCCGACCCGAGCTGAGCGGTTTCCTCGACGACGGCAGCGAGTTCCTGCTGGTCGTGCAGCGCTCGGGCGGCGGGCTCAGCGCCTCCAACAAGGTACGGCCGTGCGCCGCCTGCCCTCGGCGGCCCGGGCCGTGTGTGACGAGCGCCGTGTGACGAGCCCGCTCGGCGGGCTGCCGTGAGTGGAGCGAGGTTTGGCGGTGTGCGGCGCCCTCCTGAGCGCCTCGTCCCGGCGCTGCGGGGTCGGTGTGCGGCCAGCGAGCTGAAGAGGAAAGGCTGAGTGAACTGGGTCTGTTCAGCCTTGAGAAAAGGAGACTGAGAGGGGACCTGATCCAGGTCTACAGATATCTAAGGTGTGGGGGGCAGAATGGCGAGGCCAGACTGTTTTCAGTGGTGAGTGGAGACAGGACAAGGGGAAACGGCTGGAAACTGCAGCACGGGAAGTTCTGCACAAATGTGCGCAAGAACTTCTTTACAGTGAGGTGACAGAGCACTGGAACAGGCTGCCCAGGGAGGTGGTGGAGTCTCCTTCTCTGGAGATGTTCAAGACCTGCCTGGATGCCTACCTGTGCTACCTGGTGTAGGGAACCTGCTTTGGCAGGGGGGTTGGACTCGATGATCTCTGGAGGTCCCTTCCAACCCCTACAATTCTGTGATTCTGTGATTCTGTGAAGAGCGGCAGCAGCTAGGGGCGAAGTGGGGTTCGTGTGGCCTCTCGTGCTGTTGTGCCGGTGGGCTGCAGTGCCCGATGTGTCGGTGCGGCTCTTGGTGCACTGATGGGTAGCGCTGTGAGCTGTGAACTCATGGGCTGGGATCTACGTAGAATCATACAGTGCTTTGGGCTGGAAGGAAGGAACCTCAAAGAGCGTCCCGTTTACAACTCTCTGCCATAGGCACGTTGCCACCCACCAGGTCAGGCTGTCCAGTGTCCCATCCAACCTAGCCTCAAGCCCCTCTGGGGATAGGGCGCTACAGCTTCTCTGGGCAGCTTGTGCTGCGGCCTCATCACTCTCCAAATGTAAAAATTTCCACCTAATTTCTGATCTAAATCTCCTCTCTTTTTAGTTCAAAGCCATTTGCCTTAACCTGTTGATGGCAGACCATGTAAAAAGCCAGTCTCCTTTCTGTTTCTGTTGAGCTCCGCTCAAGTCCTGGAAGGCCATAATGAGGTTTCCCCAGAGCATTCTCTTTTGTAGGCTGAACAAGCCCAGCTCCTGCAGCCTTTCCTCCTAAGAGGATGATTCTCTAGTCATCTTCTTGGCCCTCCTCTGGACCTGATCAACAGCTCCCTCTTTCCTGAGCTGGGCGTCCCAGGCCTGGATGCAGGACTCCAAGTGGAGCCTCGTGAGGGCAGAGTAGAGGGAACCATCACCTTCTTGTCCCAGGTAGGAGATGGCCACCCCTCCGTTGATGCAGCCCAGGATACAGTTGGCCTTCCATGCTGCAGGAGCACACTGCTGGCTCTGGCTCATGTTCAGCTTCTCCTACACCAGGACCCCCGAGTCTCTGTCCATAGGACTGTTCTCAATGAGTTCTTCACCACATCAGGTGGTGCAGACTGTCAAGCCCAGTGCATTAAATGTTTAAGAACATTCTTTTGTTTTATGGATTCTTTTTTGCCACAGATTTCAGTACATATTTTGAGGTAATGTTTAGAATTGTGACCATAAGTGGAAATGTGAAAGTAACAAGAGCTGTGGAACAACTTAATGACTTTACTGATGAAGAGGCATGCCTTTCTCTTTATTTGAATGATTCATAAATTACAGTAGAATTCTATAACTGCAGACTTGGGCAGTCAATACTGAGTATTTAGAACAGTGTTTTCAAATTTATGCAGTGTAAAAATGTGACAAAAAAAAAAAAAAGGTTTAAATCCTTCTTGTTCAATCTTCTGTACACACAAACGAGAGTGAGTTTCTATTTTGTCCACAGAAAATGGTAAGTGAAGCTTTCAAAATGAAAAATAGGTATTTGTGGATATTTTATGATGAAAAAGTGTTGAAATTTACATTTCATGTTCTTGCCAACTCAGGTAGGACTATAATAAAAATTTTGATTTTCTGTGCAAATTAAATACTACCAGGGTGTTATGGTACCTGAACAGCACCAGCAGTACCAGGTGCTGGAACAGGCTGCCCAGAGAGGTTGTGGATGCCCCGACCCTGGAGGTGTTCAAGGCCAGGTTGGATGGGGCGCTGGGCAGTGTGGTCTGGTATTAAACGGGGAGGTTGGTGGCCCTGCATGTGGCAGGGATTTGGAGATACATGATCCTTGAGGTCCCTTCCAACCCTGGCCATTCTGTGATTCTCTTTATCAGAACCTGTATGGAATAATGTGGTATTTTATGTTATTTTCCTTGATGTAAAACATTTATTTAAAGAGTAATCTAGTATAACATGCAGTCAGGGAGAGTTTTCTAAACAAATGCTGTTTTTTTTTTTGTCTGTGTGCTTTTTTTCCTTTCACTATTACAGATTGAAACTACTGATTCAAAGAATAATGTGCTGGTGTTCTTCAAGCTGCGACCTGATGTAATTACAGAAGATAATCTTCACAGTAATATCCTTGTGTCATCTATGCTGGATTCACCAATTAACAGCCTTTATCAAGCTGTTAGACAAGTTTTTGCACCGGTATTGCTGAAGGTGAAAAATACACTGATTTAAACAGTCTGTAGATTTAAATTGAAAAATCAGAAATCCACAGCATATCTTAACTATTCTGACATGTATTTTTGAATGTAAGATATTTATATATTTTAAGAGGTTGAGTAATGAAAGATCGTTCTAATTTCTGAGTTAAAAAAAGACACTTTTGACATAGCACTCTGGGTAATGGGAAGATTCTTTCTGGTCATGTGTGTGCGTGACTAGAAATGTGGAATCCACAGGACTTTGTTTACTGTAGTTGGGGGCAGAAACAGAAGATGCTGTTCCTTGACATTAATTGTAGTATCTCATTATGTGGGCAACTGAGTCGCCATCCTTGGATGTGTTTAAAAACTGTTTGGATGTGGTGCTCTGGGACATGATTTAGCAGAGGGTTGTTAGAGTTGGGGTAGTATGGTTAGGTTGCAGTTGGATTGACGATCTGTGAGGCCTTTTCTAACCTGAGTAATTCCACGATTCTACAATTCTATTTTGATTAAGGGGAAATAGCAGTAATTCTTCCGAGGCACATCTTGTGACATTTTTATTGTAGGATGAAAAATGGAGTAAAACATTGGATCCCAAACTCCAGAAACTTCTAAGCGAGCTCGAAGCAGGTTTGAGTACTGTGCTCAGAAGATCAGATCCTAATTGTACAGGAACAGAATTCACTGAAGATGATGTGCAAGGTTTGTCTGGCAATTATGCTTTTTATAATTAGTTATCATGCTATTAATACCACTAATTTTGTAGTAATCAACATTATTAATTATCTTGCTATAATAAATGCAGCTGACTTCAAATTGGGAGTAAATCGCTGATAGACTGAATTTTCAGTCTTCATAATGCCAGTGCCTGCAAATTGTGCAGCATCTTGTCATCTGTAGTTTGGAACTGGTGGTGGTCAGCTCTGGTCTCTTGGTATGAACTTGATGATGCATTTCATTTGAATCAGAAGTTGAAGGGTAATCAGGGAATTCTAAGGCAAAAATTTACTTTATAAGTATGTTCTGACTGACAGTATTTAGTGAACATTCGTTTATTCTATATTTAAACACACTCTGTTCTTATCTGCAGCTATCCTTACACCAACAGATGAATTTCAGTTCTGGAAAGAATGTGCTCAGCATGGAAATAAATTGCGTGATAAAGAGAGAGCTTCTCATTTCAAAGACCTATTTGAAGACCTTGCAAAAGTATGTTCTCTTTTATATAATCAGTGATATTTTTTTAGACATAGTTGAAAAGAGATCTTATGAAACGCAAGGCAGTGCATATTATAATTTGTTCAAAGATATGACTATATGGCTATTTAGTTAATTTTTCTTAGGCAAAAAACTTGACTTAAAATGTCGTTTATGTAGTACCAAGTGACAGTGGTGCAGGGGAATGCCCAAAGTTAATGGGGAGGAGATCTGACCGTTAAATCCTAACAGCTGCTGTGGAGATATAAGAATGCTACAGTTTGTTCATGCTAACTGATTGTGTTGTGCAAAATATTAGGCACCTGAAGAGCACTTGGTTGAACTGAGCTGCTGTTATCAAATCGTTCCTTACATGAATAAGCTTAAACTAATATTTAATGTTTTTTTGAGGGGATTCTTCCATATCCTATTATGCAGCAGACTACAGGAAATTATAGCAATTACTAGCTGCTGTAAAGTATAAATGTTTCTATGACATTATTTGCAAAGTGATTATATTTATTTTTTTCCTAGCATTATTACAACTTAGATAGTCTCTCATTACTTGAAGTTGTGGATTTAGTGGAAACTACTAAGGATACTGTTGACAATGTATGGAGGCAAACAGAACATGATCCTTATCC